AAACAAACTGGAGACCGAAGACCATGGACCCGTCGTTCTTTCTCATTACCGCTCCTCCCATAGCACCTCCTGGAGCGAACGAGGCATCAGTGTTCAATTTCAGACCATTGACAGGTTTGTGCCATCGAACAATTTGAAATCGTCTTCCTGTTAATTTGAAATCCCTAGGAACCATGTCTTCCTCAATTAACATCTTTCCTATAGAAGATATCCTAGGCTTATTCACGGTATAGATCCATTGATGAACGTAGCACTTTACCTGCTTAATTAGAGAAAGAGATGTACTTAGATGATTTCCTTCACCCCAAATAATATTCGAATAAGCTTTCTAGATGATCCAACAAATCATTCCAGGAAGGGAATGCTTAAAAATATCTTCAAGTTTCTTACTGCCCGCCTTAAGCCACCAAGAAATCATTATTTCGTGAATTGTATTATGCATAGATGGGATAGGAATGCCAAAAAGCCCCATAAAATATCTCCAAACAGGGTAGGATATTTTACATTGAAAGAATAAGTGATTGACATTGTCCTCTTGTTCCCTACACAAAGGACAAATAGATGGGTTAAGCACCAGATTAAATCTATTTAGATTATCTGGAGTAGGAAGCATATTGTTCAACATTTTCCACTGAAAGAAGCTGATTTTCAACTGCCGATTATGAGTGAATGTGCTAATAGCTTCATCTCTGATTGCATTGTAGGCTGACTAAAAGGAAAAGTTTCCTGTATCCTCCAATGACCAGATTAGTTCTCCAGAATGATTGACTGAACAAAGTGAAAGAGCTTCAGAATTGATAGCACACAATCTTTTCTAAATTGCACAGTCAACAATTTTAGGTATGCAGTTTCCTTCTCTTGGATATCTTGAATTAATAAAAGTATTCCACAATGAAGTGCCTGTTTTCCACTTCCACCAGAGTTTAAGAGTAAAAGCCTTTTCCAAATCAGTAAGAGATCTAATACCTAGTCCCCCTCCACAGTAGGAGTGCATAATTGAGACCGTTTACTTTAATGATATTTCTTCTTACTATTTGATGAACCCCAGAAAAAATCAGCCATCTTGCTCTCAAGAACCTTAATCGCTTTTCTTGGTAATGTGTCTGTAGCAAGAGTATGAAGGGGTATGGAGCTCAGTACATGCTTAATTAAGATTAGTCTGCCTCCCTGAGATAAGTTCTTCTGTCTCCAAGGGCTAATTTTTTTTTTCAAATTGTTTGATTAGGTGAGTGCAGAACTGATATCTATTGATACCTCTATGCAGGTTCACCCCAAGATATTTAAGGGGCAAAGATGACACCCTCATCCCAAGGGCATTCTTAATACGGGTGCTTCTCTTTTCTACAGCTTTACCACACACAATAGAGCTTTTTTCCAGATTTACTCTCTGACCTGAAGCATTATGGTAAGATTCCATAAATTTCTTGAATTTGATTAATGATCTTACATCACCATTTAAAAAGACCAACAACTCATATGGAAACCCCAAGTGAGAAATGGGAAAACCCTGAGTACCAACCCAATAAGGTTTAATCAAACCTTGATCTATGTGCCAGTTTAGTCCCCTAGAGAAGCCTTCAGCAGCAATCATAAAAAGAAAAGGAGATAGGGGATCACCCTGTTTTTCTCCTCTAAGAGGTTTAAAAAAACCTTGTGGAACTCCATTGACCAGAGCAGACAAAAAAGTTGCCTTAAGATTATTCATCACCAAGTGTATGAGGAAACCAGAAAAACCAAATCTTTTAAGAACATCTGCTAGATAAGCCCAAGAAACATTGTCAAAAGCCTTAGTCATGTCTAGTTTAATAACAATATTTGCACCCCTTATCTTCTGGTCCAGAGAGTGTATCATTTTCAGTGCCACAAGGATCTGATCAGCAATGTCCCTTCCTTTCATAAAGCCCGCTTGTTCCTTAGAAATAATTTTGGGGAAATAATAGTACTAAGTCGAGAGGCTAAAACTTTAGTACATACTTTACTTACAAAATTAGAAAGACAAATAGGCCTGAAATCAGCAAAAGAAGTAGGTCTTTCTGTTTTAGGTATAAGCACAATCCAAGAACTTGAAAGCCCTTTTGGAATAGAAATGCCCATGAAAAATTCTTGAACTGCCTTAACCACATCAGACCCAAGAATAGACCAACACTTTTTAAAAAATTTACCATTGAATCCATCTGGCCCTGGTGCACCTTTGGGGTAAAGATCCTAAATTGCTTCTTTTACTTCCTCATCATTTGGTAATCTTGTGAGCATCATATTATCTATCTCCGTAATAATTGGAGGTATAAACGGCAGGATTGGTAAAGAGACTTGAAATAATCAACAGCAGCAGAGTTTATATCAGGTATAGAGGTCACCAAATTCCCTTCTGAGTTTTGAATAGCTGAGATGGTTTGCATTTTATTCCTAATATTAACATAAGAATGAAAGAAGGTTGTATTAGCATCACCTTCTTTCAACCATTTAATATTAGCTTTCTGTTTCCAAATTTTCTTCTCAACTTTGTATTTGGACATAAGTAAAGCTCTAGAATGAGATCATTTCGCTCTGTTTTCCTCAGTGGGATCTGTTTCAAAGGCCTTTTCATCTTCTAAAGCAGCAACTTCACAACTTTTAACATCTTTAAAAATGGTAGTATATTAAATGTACATACATACCTACATATATTAAGTGATAAAATGATTTACGTATTAGTTCAATTTGCACTTTATTTACATATTAGATTAATAAGATTTTATAATCTAAAATATTAAAATCTAGATCGATGCTTTTTATTTACTCACTTTATCTTATTTTGATTATATTACATACATAACAGATCTTTTTGTTCTAATATTAAAAACTAAATGAGTAAAGATCATGCACAAATACAACAACGAGCATAAAAATATAATAGGAATTTCAAGTTAATAAGGTACGTAATTTGTATATAATCAAAACTATTTTTTAAAAGATGAAACATCTAAAAAAATAAATGAAAGTAAAATTCCAGCCAAAACTGGAATAACCCAGTCCGGACCGGTCTTGGATCAGTATTATTCTATTATGGTCTTCGGTCCAATTACTCTGGTGATTCCAGTTACGCTCCAAACTGGTTCCGGTCCAGTCCGATCCGGTCTCTTCTTGAACTGGTGCTCACTCGCATTTTATTTGTTACTTTCTTTATTAGGTTGTTTTTCACACATGCATTGACACTTTGAGATGACATTTCATCAATAGTGCTCTTGTAAACCTGAAATATCAAACAACTTCAATTAGTACATGATTTTAGGGCATCAGCAAATCATTAAATTAACAATGATCTATAAGTTTTCATTAAGCATGTAGTTGTTATTATTATATTTATTGCTTACAATTAAGTACAAGATGTAGCTCCAAACTATTCGACAATAGAGTCAGTCGTTCATGCGGTAGCATGAGAGGCTAGTTCTATATTTGATAGCCATTTTGGTTCTTATCTTACCTAGTAGCATTGTTGATGTCCTGAATTTTTATTCAATGAATGCCAATTAAATGTTTCCTATTAAAAAATGCTAGATTAAATCATGACATTATAGTAGATTTTGTCATATGCCAAGGGGTGCATTTATGCCATTTTTGTGTCGATAGCCTACTCTAGACATGAATACATGATTACTCAGCAAAAATAGAAGGGTACCATACCTAGCATGTATTTCAATGGTCCAACTCAAAGTTTCATATTTTATTTACATTTAAATTATTGAATTGAAATTTTTTGATTGATCCATACCTTCAAGGTCCCGTAGAAATTGCCTTTGTTATTTCAGGTTAGGAAAGTCGAAATCACTTATAGGGTCAACATTCTCCACTCAGGAAAAGGTTAAGGATGAGTTAGTATTGGATGGGAATCACATGTGTCTCGATCCTGTGCCCTTATCAACCAAGTAACTCGTTGATCTAATCTTCAAATTTTAGGATTTCAATAATTAACTAAAACCAATACGTTAATGGGATTAATCATTTAAATTATTAACTAATTCACAATATTAGGATTTTAACACTAAATTATTACGTTAATGGCATTAATTTACAATACTAAAATTACGAAAATCTAATAATACACAATAAATAATTAACTAATATTACTAAAGTAATGTTTCAATCCTAACTTAAATCATTATAACTCAGATTAATAATACACAAGTAACTTTTTAGTATATTTCTATAACTGCCAAACGCTAACTTAAAATATTGTTTCTTGATGGTATATATGTCAGTGAGAAGGGAAAAATTGCTGAAAAAGAGTAGTTGTCTAGTTTGAGAGGATAGCATCAAAGAATAAATCTTTCATTATCTCACTGTTTAGTTTACCCTTAATTTTGAAACAAGTTTTTTTGTTTAAGTTCATTTATTATTGCTGGCATAGGTATATTACTACGTACTCACTCCGTCCCAAATTGTTTTGCAAAGTCAACATTTTTGGTCAACTAATTATAAGAGTCAATCCTCCTTATCGATAATTAACTCAACTTTTAATAATTAAAATTTACATATTCAGAAGCTACATTAAAATATCTTCAAAGTTGCAAACTCCAAATTAGAAAATAATTAAAAATTGACATCCTAATTAAGAAAATAAAATCAAACCGTTTGATTAAGAAAAGACAAATTTGCAAATCAATTTGGGACGGAGATAGTACTATTCTACGGATCATAGTATATTTTTCTTGTTGTATTATTGTAAATGTTTTCCCATCGAGAACTATCAGATCAGGGAATGGCCCTCCTGCCTCAACAACAAATCAGTTGCTCTTGTAATTTGGAACATACAAGGGAATGATAAGTTTATGAACATACAAGAGGTTTGATCTCAACCAAACAAATATCTAAAATTTAGAAAACAATATTCTGAATTTATGGATTCATGCAGCTCAATTTATGTAGCCCAGATAATTCCAACTGACATAACTACAATGAGGGAGGCCTCCCCGCCACCCCTCCATTTTTGCCCTATAAAACCTCTTCCATCTCCATTCTTTCAAACCAGCCTCAGAAATAACAAAGTTCCATCCAACAAATAAGGTTTCTACCCTAAGAAAGGCCTTTTAGTGCTGTCGGTTCTCGCCCGTTCATCGTTTGTCTCGCCCGCTCCTCTCGTTACTCGTCCGACAGAGATAAGTAGACATGGGAGCCTGTGCGAGCAAACCTAAGGATTTGGACACACAAGAGGCCCCTATCCCGGAGGCCCCTCTTTCCCCCAAAAAACCAGATATGCAGGCTGCTCCCGAGGTAACAAGTTGCTACCTCTAGCGTGACCGCATAGCTAATATACATATCGCGGTGGACCGGTAGAAAAAATATCATATACTCCTTACAAAGTACTACTATTTTATTAGCGATTCGGCGTTTTCGATTAGAATCGTCCGTTTCTATGTCTCATCCCATTGTAGCTTTGAGCTTTATGATTGTAATGTTTCTCGTCTTCTTCATTAATAATAATTAAGTTATTTGTTTTCCAAAAAAAGTACTTCTATTTTATTTGCAAAAACTTTTTTAGACAAAAAAGTTTTTTTAACAAATTTTAATTTGTGCTTTAGGACTTCTTAACTCTTTCGCTTTATGTTTGAAGTGTTACTTAGTATATTTCATGTATAAATATGTCTTATACATTAGACTATAACTGCATTAAAAGGTGGATTTTCGTAACATGATGCGCGCAACCCTAAATTTTGTCGTGATGTGATCATAATGAGAATCCTCGTCTCAAAGTTATCTTCATATATACTCTCTATTTTCATCCGTCCCACATTTTCTTTTAGGACAAAGATTTCTTAATTTATATTATTTCTCTCAACTACATACCTTTCAATTTTTTAATCTACATGAAAACTTCAAAAAGGATATAATATTGGGATAGAGAGTAATAACTACTTGATGAAAAAAGTGTTTTTCTATTCTTTTTGGGCATGTCATCCAATAATAGTCTTTAATAATATAATAATACTATCTTGTGTTCCATTTTAATCGCAACATGTTGAATTTTACATTATTCACATATTTTACTATGAGTACATTTTACGCTATTATTTTATGATTTTTTTTTTAAATGTCCATTTCATCTCATTACATATTTTCAAAATCTGAGTTTTCATATTATCTTTACTAATAGAATTAAGATATAATTACGGTCAAAGACGTTTTTTAACAAATGTGAAATGTTGACTGTTGGAACTAAAAAAGAACATAGGGAGAGTATATACTGCATACATAATAAATTGGAGGGAAAATGAATGCAGGAGAATAAGGAGGATGGAGAAGAGACAAAGAAGGAAGAGCCATTGGTAGATCTAACAGAGCCAGCTCAAGAAGCACCTAAGGGAGAGGAAGTGGTGGTAGAGACAGAGACCCAAAAGGCCGATGTTGTCTTAGACGAGACCGCCTCAGCAGCTGCGGTTGTGGAAAAAGCGGCCACCGAGGAAGATAACAAGGCCACAAAGGTCGATGATGAAGATAAGAAGAAGAAGGAAGAAGTAGCGGCTGTTGCCGATGAGGTTGTTGTTGCCTCTCCTGCTGTTGCTATCGTGTCGGAGGTTAAAACCGAAACGCCTGCCGCCGCCTAAGTGTCATTGTACAAAGTTAACAATCGGTGGATATATAGTTTCACTTATTTTGTTGTATTCCATTTTATAATGTTAATATGTTTGAGGCTCAATGTAACAATAACCCAAAAAAATGAAAAATTAAGGGAAAATCCCAAAATTAACCAATTTGTGGACCTCTTTTATTTCTGATTTGGATGTGTGGATGATGTATTGCTTATTTTACTATTTATTGTTGATAAATAAAAAATTGACATTCGAAAATGATTTTAATAAAAATAGAAAATCCTTAATATTTTTCTTTTATTTCCCAATGCAATTAAGGAGTGCCATTTATGGTCATAGGACTTTTAACCAAAAAAATTAAGGAGTGCCAATGCAATTAAGGAGTGCCATTTATGGTCATAGGACTTTTAACCGGCTGAGGCATGCTCACCCAACTAAGAACAGACGCCACTAGAAGGGGCGGAGCCAGGGTTCAGGGTGGTCAGCTGACCCCCCAAATAGTTCAAGAATGTAAAACTCTGAAATACATTCGATTTGATTAATTATAGGCCTCATAGCTCATTACGAGTAAAAAGTTATCATTCCTGGAAGATCAGCATCATCTAAACTTGAAATGAGCAAAGTTTGATGGGCAATATTGATTATATTCCTAAATTTAAAAATAAATGACCTTCTTGACTCATTAGTTGCATGAAGTTTATAATACATGACATATTTATCAATACAATAACCGTATATGTTTCATTAAACTTTCATTTATCTCAGTTACATATGAAACGGTCAAGAATTATCTAATATGGAGTACTAATTCAACATTTTGATGTTGTCTACAATTAAACTTTGACCGTGACACAGTTTTTTGGCTCTCCACTTGCTCATTAGAAGGTTCTCGTCCACTATTCATATGGTCAACTTAAATCATTTTTAATCTTTTACTTTATAAATCAAATTTTTATCAAATTTACATTTTTTTATCAGGCTTTGTAGTAGTTTTAATTTAGTTTCTGAATATGTTAATTTTATTTACTAAAAATAATCAGAGTGTGAACAAGGATTAAGTTGCTTTATCGTCAGTCAAGCATCGTAAACCGTCAACAAAAACCTTCTAGTGGGACGGAGGGAGTACATTATTATGGGCAATGAATGTGTAAATGCATTTATAAACTAAACTAAACATAGCATAAACACTATTTCTCTAGCACAAGAAATTCAAAGATTATTGATGATATTAAGATTAATGATTACATTTAACAAATAAAATTTCATATTGTATTTATGTTTGGTTTGTTCGGTTCGGTTCGGTTTTGAAGGGTAAAAACCAAAACCGAACCAAACTACTACAGTTCGGTTCGGTTTTTTACATTCGGTTTCGGTTTTTATCGGTTCGATTTTATTTGGTCGCGGTTCGGTTTAATTTGATTCGGTTTTCGATTTTCGGTTTTTCGGTTTTTCGGACCCAGCCCTAGACCAACCAAGCTCATGCAGCTCGTAACATCGAGAAAGTCCGTCCAGCACCAGACATTAAAAAATATAAAAAAAATTGGTTCTCCTCAAGAGGATTCCCGATTTCCATGCCTACTGTCATGTCCGTTGCAATGGCGATTGGACGTCACCGTCGTCTCTCCTAGCAAGGCGCCATAACCAAGCGGATGACCACAATTGAAGAAATGACAGGAATAGATATTCTCTCCAACGGTTGGAGCCAGGGGCGGAGCTACATATAACCCCCAATTGTAATTGTTTTCAGGAAATTATCAATTTACGGGAGTTTTGGGAATGACAAGCCAAAATACGGGACTTTAATGTAAAAATTAAAAAAAAAACCTAGTCGGAATTGTGTAATCCGACTAGGGGTGTTCGAAATTTTTTTATTGTTTGCTTTGATTTGTGTTCATTCATTTACCCAAATTATATGGTCGGAATTGCTTAAATTTAGACTTTTACATTTTTAAATTTAAATGTAAAATTTAAATGTAAATGTAATATTTAGAGTTTTAGTTGGTAAATGTAATAAAATTTACGTAAACCTAAATTATATATTCAGGTATTATTAAAACAAAAAAAATCAATTTTACTCCTGTCAGAATAAGTAGTTCCGACAAGGGGATTTTTTTAGAAATTTAATATATTTTGGTTGAAATAAAACCAAAAAAAAAATTCTCCCTGTTGGAAACGCTACATCCGACTAGGGGATGTTTTTTAGAAATTTTATTTTGTTTTATTTTATGAAATTTTATGAAATTTTAAGAAATTTTATAAATTACGCTATATTTTGTTTTATTTTAAGAAATTTTATAAATTAAATTTTATAAATTAAATTTTTATTTTAAGAAATTTTATATTTGAGATAAATTTTATTTTATTTAAACCATAACTTTAGAAGTATTTATTTTAATAATTTTTAACTCATTCAATTAAATAAGGTCACATTTTATAATATGACACGTTTAAGTAATTATAACATATTTAGATTGTATATTATAACATTCAAATAAAATATTATTTATTTTTTGTAGTATATAATATTATTGAAATTTATGAATGTATCTATTTTGTAGAGTTATAAACTCGGGTGAAGAGTCAGACGACGACCCAGACTATGAACATGGTTTTAGTAGTGATGTCGATTCATCCACGAGCGATGATAGTGATGAGGCAGTAGACACCACCTCGGCCAATGTGGAGCTAGAAGAATCATATGCTGAACCGGTAGATTCTGAGTCTGAAAGGATCAAAATCAGCGCAGTTTATTCTTCATATGTTGCACTGAAAGAAGTAGTGGCGAGAGAAAACATTAATCAATTTCGTTTGTTCAAAATGGATGACAAAAGACCACGGTCCTGGAAGGCTGTTTGCATAAACCTGACTGTTTGCACTTGGCACATCTAAGCAGGAGAACGGCTGCATTCAAAAAAATGGAATGTAAAAAACTATCAACCCCATCACAGTTGTAGGGAGGATCTTACCACGGCTCAAGATGACAAAATGGACGCTTGATCGCTCTACGCTTGTACGCTTGTACTGATAGGTACCGAGAATGGTAGAAGCGGTATGGGATGACACGTGTCCAGAACCCTTCTCACAATGTGCCCGTGACAGGCTACACCCCGACAACACGCGATTGGGATCTTGTGGTGCGTTTTTGAATACATACCATATTCATTAACATATATCGTGTCATATTATTTACACGTGTTACATTTTTATGCAGAAGCAAGGCTTTCACGATTTGTATCAGCTCGCCGGTAACCACGCGAGCAGGGCCGGCCATAGAGGGGATAGGCACCTAGGCAGTGGCCTAGGGCACTACTCCCAAGAGGGGGCATCATTCTCCTGTCCAACAGGTTTTGTTCCGAAGCCGTCCGAACAATGCCATTCGGGGCGGTTCCCGGTGGAATATTTTGATGAACGTTTTCTGGTATGCTCTTCATCAAGTCTAGTTTATCCAAAAAAAAAATTCAGCTCAAAATACGACATAGAAGGCCGTCAAATAATTTTTGGAAATTAACTGCGCAAAATTATACATAGAAAAACGCAGTCAATTTCCAAAAAAAACATTGACGGCCTTCCGGATCGAGTTTTGAGCTTAATTTTTTTGTGAATAAACTAGACTTGATGCATAACATACTAAAAAAGTTTCATCGAAAAATTCCACCGGCAACCGCCCCAAACGGCGGTGTTCGGACGGCGCCTCAGGTCCGAACTTTCGGACCTGAGAATTTTCCTATATATATAGAATAAACTGGCCCAATAAGAATTACTGATCATGATGATTACCTCGTTGATAAAAAACGGAATTTTAGTGACAAACACTAAACTCGGTGCTTGCAAATGGTGAAAAAAGTGTTATCTACTCTTGATTGTGGTGATGTACTTACAAATTTGCACATCAAATAGCAAGAAGAATATGTTATTAGGTAGTACTTTTATAATTTTATTTATTTCTTTGAAGAAATTATATTTTCACATACTTTACATCAATTTTAAATCAAGTATTTCTTTTTACATTTAGTAAAAAATGATGTTATAATTTTCTAATTATTTCATATTTAATTATGTTATTAATGTGAAGTACAATTTGATATCATTAGTTATTTTTTGTCCGGGGCACCAAAATTCCTTGAGACGGCCCTGCACGTGAGTTATGAGGACATTCAAGAACGGCTACAGCGGTTGGCCCTGGATGTAGGTGATGAAGAGATGCTCCACCTGGGCATATTCCAGTATGAAGATGGAGATAAAGGTAAAAATGAGCAAGAGGATGATGGAGATGAACATCAAGGTGGGGGTGAGCAATCACAACCGCCCCATGAATGCATCAAGGTTTCTCATTTGATCAACCGCCGTCGTATTATGATTCTTATCAGTACTCCACACAAGGGGATGATTTTGTTTCCTCGTTTATGGATTCGTCATTTTACCATGGAGACACAACGGGGGCTTGGAACACTGGTGGCGGGGACGGAGTAGGGCCGAGCACGCAACGTTAGATGTACTATTAAATTTATTATTGTATATACTATCTATTTATTAATAAATTACATTGAAAACTACATTTTTTTTGTTCACTTCCATTAAAATTACAAAAAATCGCATTTAAAACAAAATCAAATTGGTCTTTCATTTTATGAATTTTTTTCGCAATATAGATGGATTAAAAAATAATATTAAGCAATCAAAAAAAATTAAAAATCAAAATGCATAATTTTCATTTTAAAAAATATGTCAAGAATTTAAAACAACTTTTAAATTCGGAATTAAGAATAAGGAATTAACAATACTTTTAAAAAACTATTAAAATCAAAACTTTAACAATAAGGAATTAACAACCGGAAGAATTAAAAAAACAAAAAAACATCCTGGTCGGAAGTCACAAATCCGACTGGAGGGAGAGGTGTTTTTTTCGAAACCCTTCCTCTGGTCGGAAAACCCAATTCCGACTCCCGCTTTTTGGGAAAACCTAATTTTTCCCGTGCGGGCGGGCGTAAATACGAAACAATTAATTCTTAGAGATGACCGTGCAGATCGATTTTCGCCCATTTGCCCTCTTTTTCTATTTAAACAACCCTTGTTTGCTTGTTTTACGTGACAGAGCTTAGAGAGATAAACCCTATTTTTCGACTTTTGAGAGGTTTTTTCAGTCTTGTTATCAAGATTTTGGGATTCTTTGTAAGTTCCATCTTTTTAATTAAGGGAGATTT